CCCCTAACGGCGGCGGTTTTTGGCGGCAGCGCGCTCCCCCGCCCGCCAACCCTGAGCGCCGCCTTCCCGCCCTTTCGGGTTTGAATTGCCCGCCCGCAGGGAGGGGAGGGGGCCTGGCGGTGGGGGAGGGGGCGCGGGGCGGGCACGTCGAGCCCGAGGGGAGCGGGATAAACAGCCGCCAACATGGCTCCTCCCGCCGCGGCCGCCGCTCCTCCAATATGGCCTCTGGCGCCCGCGGGCACCAGAGCAGCGCAGGGCTAGCCCGGGGCCGCCTGACACCGCCTCGAGTGTTCGCACCGGGGGCCGAGCCCGCTCCAGCCTGGCGCCGAGTCTCGCGCCCCCAAGTCGGGGAGGCGGCGGTAGCAGCAGCGATGGTGGCGGCAGCCCAGCGCCTGGGGCCCTCGCGCCACGTACCTTTCTCTTGGGCATGGTGGCGACGGCGGCGGGACGTAGGCGCTGGACACGGGGATGCAGCGGCGGGCGGGCTTTGGTCGGTCCGGGGGTCGTCCTCGCCTCTTCTTCTTCACACTGCTCGGGCTCCGGGGGGTTTATAAAGTTTTTATAGCGCTGGGAGCCCCGGACCGGTTAGAACCGGATTTCACCTCCCGCCGCCGCTCATTGGCCCAGCTGGGGTCACGTGGGCGGGGTTTAAACTCACCTCCTCTGGAGGGAGTGAGGAGGGGGGTCTGGGGGGAGGGCGCGCGAGACGGCGGCGCGCCTAGGGGGTGGGGGCTCAGTGGGGGAGGCGCGCGTCCATGGCCTTAAGTGAGGGGGGTGGTGCGAGTCGGCGGGCTCCGGGTTTCGGCTCGTGCCAAGAGCTGGCTCTTGCAAACTACCAAGTTCTTTCCACCTTATGCAACCCAGCTACCCACTTCTCCAAGCCCTGCGACACTCAGGGCGCATCCCGGCCGCTTTCCTTCCTGTTCCCGCTGGGGCCCCCAGAAGAAGGGCTTGCGAAGCCGGGCCGAATTGCCCTTTTCCGCTGGAGGCGGGAGGAAGCGTGCGCCGTGGAGGTACAGGCTGTGGTTCCGAGGGCCAAGGCTGACACCGAAGTGGGAAAAGAGCGGGGAGGCCAGCTTGGCGCAGCCAGACGTGCAGCCTTCCAAGCTGCCGCTCCGAGGAAGGCTTTCGTGCACCTCACCTGGAAGGAGGTCCACTCGAGGTTGGGTGGGGACTCGAGGGGGAAGACTTCACTCGCAGAGGTGCTGTCGGGTGCAGTGGGGCAGGTAGGAGCTGTCCTTTCAGCACCCGCCGCTGAGCCGCCTCCCCAATTGCCAACGAAGCCCCCCCCAACCCCCCCGCCTGTCGGGTGACTCCCTCGGGTCTCTGTATTCCCGGAGCTCGGGTCCCCGCCACGGAATGGAGAGCAGCGGCCACGAAGACCTCCCAGCACTCCCTTCCCCCTACGCTCCACCCGTTTTGGAGACATCCAGCTCAGCTAACCCCCACCCTACGTGGCCACCAAGCCTGGGCCCTGCAAACGCAGCTGGCGAAATCCCTCCTTCCACACTGGCAGGCTGACTTCCTTTCACTTGTGCGAGAAGGGTGGAGGAAAGTGCCCGGGGATTAGGAAACAAGTAGAGGAACAGGTGTTGTGATGGCAAAAGAGCTCTACCAGCGCCCCCCTCCCCAACTCCCTCAGCTAAGGTCCAGGAGCTAGCCAAGCTACCTGAGGGAGGGCAGACAATCGCAGCAGCAAAACAAGGTGCTCTCCCATGCACTGTTCACAAACAAGTTTTACATCTAAGTTTTAAAAATTCTATTTGACACCCAGGAGAACACAAGAACATGATAAATATCCTCAAGTGGGGGTGTGGCTCCCAGGTGGGAGGACATTTAAATACACCTAGCTTCTTGAGGCAAGGGTTGAAGTGGGACTGTACAAAACATCAGTAGAAAGCAACCAGACTGAGTTCAAATAAGTTATTTGCAGGCCCTGCCCCTGGGCAGTGGTGGCCCCTTTGCCTCTTCTCCTTTCTGCCCTCTTCTGGTCTCTCCTGGGGCAGAGCAGCCGCACCCACCCCATTCTGTCTACCTTTCCCAGAATATTGCATCTTGGGCCAAAAAGAGATACCAGTCCTATTAATCACCTCTGCTATGCCCCAATCATATTAGGGAAAGTCAGACACAGAATGAGACAGGGCTCAACAGCCTTGCTCAGCGTAGATTCCGTTTGCTGCCTCCAGCCCCTCATTCCCGCCTTAATTGTAGGTCTCTGCGTTATGGCCGCATAATTCATGCCTCCCTAATTAAGGCTGTCAACAGTCCCATTGTAAAGCTGGAAAATGTACAGCACCTGCTCTCTGGGAACCCCGTGCCAGGGATTGGTAGTGGGGAGTGCCAGGTGTGTGCGGGGGGGGGGGGTGCCTTGCCAAAGGGTGCACGGATCAGCTTCTCAATTGCACTGGCTGGCATTCATGCTTGACTCTGGGAGTAGGAATGATGGCCGAGGGGCTCTCTTGTGCCAGGCAGCCAGGCACAGAAAGGGGGAGGCTGGAGCATAGGAAAGTGAGGGGCTTGAAGGGTAAGCTCTCAGCACTGCTTGCATGACCCTACTTCTCCCCTAGAGGGAGGTGCTAGGGAAAGTGCAGAAAATGGGACCATGAAGTGGTAGTGGGACACCTGGCTGGTGCTCGCTGCTCTGGGGCACCTGAAACTTGGAGCTGTCTGACAGAGAGCTCTTCAAAGGCACTAATCCTCTCAGCAGCTCTGCAGGAAGCCTGGCAGGGGAAGGACATGACCCTTGACTGCCTCCTCCTTCCTGCTGGCCAGTCCTGGCCCTCACAAGCAGAGACTTCTGCCATGCTGAGAATGAATCCTCTCGGGGCCTACTTAGAGGGCCAGGTCAAAAAAGCTGAGAGAAGCCCTAAAGATTGAGGGGGTAGGAAGGAGTTTGAGATGGTGAGTGCAGAAGACAGACACTGGGATTAAGTGCTGGCTGCTGTGCTCTTGGTCCTGATGTTACAGAGGAGGAGGCCTGTACTGGATTAGATCCACCAGGGCCTCCAGGCCCTTCTGTTGCCCCGTAGCCATGGAGGGGCCGGTCTCACGGGGGAGTGGAGCCTGGCCCCAAGCCCTGCAAGAGGAGGAGAAAAGCTTGTGTGGGCTGAGTCGACAATAGGTAATTGGATTGTAATCACCCGCCTGGCTTCCGCGCGCCATTGGGGGCGCTGAGCCTTTCAGTGAGCAATCAGCACTGTGTGGTGGGAGGGGGTTGAGATTCAATAGCAAATCCCAGGTGGAGAGCCAAGGGGGAGGAGCAGCAGATGGGCAAATTTTCTTTCTGTCTCTCCCTCCCCTTCCTTGCCCAAATAACGCTGGCTGCCTATTAGCTATTTACCAGCAGATCCAAGGTGGAGCCAAATCTTTTGTGAAAGTCGGATGGGAGGCTAAGATGGATGGGTTGGGGGAAACCTAAATTCCCTGCAATTCGGCGTTAAAGGATGTGCTGGTGGAAAAAGAAAGTATATCCAGAAGCACAGGCTGTGGTGGCAAAGGCAGAAGGAGCAGGCACCAGAAGAGTTAGGGCCCCCAGCTCTCCAAACCTACTGCGGCCAGGCCGGGATTACTGTACATGTGGGAGAGTCATCCTCAACCCTCCCCAGGCGCCTCCCCGCGGCCCCAGGCAGCCCAGAGGTATCCATGGCCAGCAGATCTGGCCTCCAGGGCTCCCCTGCCAAGCAAAGGGAACACAATTCATCAGCAGGAAGGAGTTGCCTTTCACCAAGAAAAGAAAGGGGAGCGGAGCCCTGGAGGCAGAAGGCAGGGCAAAGTGGCAGGAGGCCAGCCGCTCTCAGGCTGATGCAGTGCCCAGACGTGCCAGCCAGTCAGCCCGCTTGAGTTCCAAAGCCTTCAGGAAGCCCTGGACCCGCTCTTCCCGTTTGGCCAAGAGTCTGTACAAGCGCGTCCGTCGGAGCTGGGCGTCCCCACTGGCCGGGAGCCCCTCTTGCAGCAGCTGCTCTGTCACTGCAGCCTGGTCCCTCTCCAGCTGCTGCCTCTTCCGCTCCTCTGCATACGTGTCTCGGGCCTTCTGTCAGAGAGAAGTGGGGATTGGGGTGGGGAGATCACTTTTAGGTGTTGGTGAACTGGGATAGGGGAGGCAGAGGGTGGGACACAGTGGGACCAGAGTATGCCCATGGTTGAGGCCAAACTGTGCAGGGGGGGCAGTGACCATTCTGGGTCCATCTTGGTTTGTTTCAGGCGGAACATCTGCATTTCTTGATATTCGCCTCAGGTGAGCACTTGGAAGGGATCCCAGCAAGTTTGGGTCTGACTTCCAGTTCCTCTACCAACTAGCTTAGTGGCCTTGGGCAAATCCTCTCCTAACCTCATTTCTTCATCTGTGAAGTGGGGGCTGTGTCTACCTTGAAGAGTGGTTTTGTGGATTAGCGATAATACATGCAAAACCATCTCTAGCACATTAGCAGGCTCTCAGAGACAGCAGGTTTTCAAATTATTCTCTTCTCTGCTGCAAGGAAGGTCCTATCTCTGCCAGGGAAATGTCAGGTCATTTCCTTTGGTTTCCCAGGTCACCCTGAAGGTGCCATCCTCCCACCACCCTAAGCTATTTGTCAGTTTGGCTCTACACTTGCCTCCTGTAGGGAGACCAGCCTGACACTTGCAACAAATGACCAACCTATGAGCATCCTGAGAAGCAGGTTCTGCTCTCTTAAGCCACTTACTGTGTCCTGCCTAGTAGAATAGGTATTAGTTGCAATACTTATTGCTCCTGGAATCACCTCCCACACCAGGTGAGCTGCTCCCTGGCAGCCATACACACTGCATGTCTCCAGACAAATCAGAGACTCCTAGAGGGCAGACTGGCGCTTGGGCACCCTGAATGAACGAAATAGTCAATTCCTCTGATCCAATGATCCCAGGAGGGGAGGGTGGATATCGCTGGCACAGGAGGGAAAAGTCCTGGGGAGCAGAACCCAGGTCTCACTGATGCTTTCTGTTCCTGCCTCGCTAACTGGCCTTTGTCCAGGGCACCTCTGGCCAAACCTACATCCACGTGTGAGAAACTACGCTTTGCTGCTGACCTGGTATCCTATACCTGGCCATGTTCTCCTTGTGATAACAGTATCTGTGTGCATGTGTGTCCTACTCAGCCTGAAACATGTGGACTGCTCTGTCTTCATCACTAAAGGAATGTGTGATGTGATCACATATGAAGCAGGCAGCGCTTGCGAGGTACTTTCTATCCCTGGGGATACAAACAGAGGCGCAGAGGAGGGAGGGACATGCAGATGTCTCAGTCCTTTACTAACTCGCCGAGGTCTGGACAGAGGCTTTAGGTCTTAGGTTTTAAAACATTTGTTAACCAGTGCAAGTCCTGTCAGACTTATCTGTCACATAAGCATGCCCAGGACAGCAGCACTGGGGACAGGCTTGAAGGCTACGTAAGATAGAGCGCCTTCCGCTGGAAACACAATGCCCTGACGTGCCCCCAGAGTCTCCCTGCCTGGAGAGTCCTACTGGGGACAGAAAGGGCAGGATGCCCAGTGTCTCTGGAGCGAGCAGTCTGGTGAAGAGCCCAGAGACAAATGGAGTGAGTGATACTGACCCCGGGCTCCTGACAGTGAACTCCACCCCAGCCGCACTCTGCGCCAAGCCCACACCAGCGCATCACAAACGGAGGCAGGTGTTCCTGTCAGCATTACATTTTTCATCTTACAGATAAGGGAAATGAATCTCTGAAGGGTTAAGTAACTGCCTGGTCAGTCCACAGCGTGTAGGCAGTGCCATGATTCACAGCCAGAAATATCTGATACAACAGCTCAAGCTTTTAACTTCTGAGAAGGTAGTGACTACCTGAAGAGCACTGGAAATAAATGGTTGATTGACCCAGCCTGGTGTTTAATCTCTGACAGATGCATCAAAGTCGGTGTTAGGGGAATGTGGATCTTCTCCCTCCATTACAGCAGCCTTACAGATTAAGTGGACTAAACGCTACTCACCTCTGTCAGTGACACCACATGGACCTGCTGTCCACGCTGCCCACACAGCCAGCCTCCCCTTCAAAGCCCTGATTTCCTACCTGTCCTGCTGCATCAGAATCCCTCTGACAGTCCCTGTTTTCTAGGAATGATGGGTGACCACTGAGAGACTGTCACGCTTCCATCAGATAGCAGGGTCTAGCCCCAAGCAACCTGTGCCTGAGCCCTGCTTCGCTTAGCCATCTGTCAGCTGCCTGGTCCAGCACCCAGCTTGCTGGCCCCTGCCCTGGCTTCTTCCAAGGACAGGGAGACATGGGGCAGGGAGACATTAGAAGCTCTAATTTAACAATGGAAATTTGGATGGTGGCACCAGAGCACAGACATGAACGCAGAAGACAGAGGGTATGGGAACCAGGAACTGTGAAGAGGCCTGTATGATCACGAGACATGGCATGTAAAAAGGAGAAACTGGAAAGATCAACTTTCTTTTCTGAGGCCAGACCGGCCAGGACATTGTTAGTCTGGATTCTACCCTTAGTAGTCTGTTGATAATCTAGATTTTCTAGAAATAGGGTTTTGAGAAATTCGGAGAAAAAAAAGCCAAAGACCCAGAGTTCAGCACAGTTGGTATCTGTTTTAACTCTGGTTTCCTCACTCTAAAGCAGAGGCTGCACCCGTACCTACCTGGAGCACCACCCGGGGTCTGCAGAGAGGGTGCCTGATACAGGGCAAGAGCTCAGTAAATGTCTGCAATGGTGATTTGTATTAATAGCTACCGCGTGGAACTCCTAATAGTTGTCTTTAAATACATTCTACCCCATTTGCCTTGGTTCCTGAAATAACAGTGACTTGCACTCAGTTTTTAAAAATCCTACAAAATATAAAAGTGGTTTCAGAATTATAGCACTCCACTAGCAGTCGACCTCATCAGCAAGGTCTACGTCTGCTTTCCCACTTGTGTCCTCCTTAGGCATATCCCACTGAAGATGAATGCTCAGAGAAGCCCTGTTGGGTAACTTTAATACATTCTTTTCTCTGGGGGTTTTACTTGTTTCTGTTACAACAATATTTTTTTCCCTCCTCCCGGTCCATTCAGCCTCCGTCTTCCCTGTAGCCACCAGCCCACCGTCCACCTCAGGCAATCTGTCACCTGGACTCTGGTCTAGAATCCTGCCCCCTGAAAATCTGGAGTGATTTTTGCAAAATATATGTTAGATCCTATCATTTCCCCATTTATAGTTCTTCAGACTTGTAAGGTCCTTCTGTGATGAGAGACCCGGCTCCCAGCCAGCCTCAGCTCCTAGCTTCTCCCTCATGCACGATGACCCTTCCCAGACCCAAACACGACAACCTCAGTATTGCTGCACTTACTGCTGCCTTTGTGGAACATAATTCTTACCTCCCAGATATTCATGTTTGGCTACTTCTCACATTTGACATCATGGCTCAAAACCATTCCTCAAAGAGGCCTTTCTTCCTCTATTCAGTACTTCTTGCTTTCCAGTGCTCGCTAGCAATTATGCCATCTTTATTGCCTCATAACAACCTGATATTATACCTGTTTACCTGTGTATTACTTAACTCCCCAAGTAAGAAGACATTCCATGGAAACAGGAATCTTTTCAGGCTGGCTAACTGCTACATCTACTGTGCCTGAACATTCAAGTGCCTGAATCATACTGGGTACCCAATAAATATTTATGGAATATATAAAACTCAAGGTAACTCCTTTCTCACATGGGAAGGTATTTGAAAACCCTGAAATTACTGTAAAAGCCTTCTGGGCAGACAAATCAGAGACAAGAAAACCCACACACAAAAGCTCATGCACCAAGATATTCTCTGGTTTCATGCAGCTCTCACTTTGCAGGCATAGTTCTAGCATACCTGACCAACTGCTTTCCTTGCTTGTAGCTGATTTAAGACGGTAAATAGGAAGAGGAGGGCAAGAAAAATGCTGTCGATTTTAGCCACTTATAGCAGTAGGAAAAGAGAGGAAGGACAATGCCAAGTACTTTGGGATCGTCTAGCCGAGCGTGAATAATCACCACTGTACAGTAAGTGATTAAAGATGGTAGTCACCGTTACCATTATTAGCATCACTGGAATGTGATTATTCTAATCACCACCATTATTAGCAAATGCTTGGTTTATAGCAGGTGTCACTGAATTCTCTCTAAGACATTTCAAGAAAGTTTTGTTACAAAGGGAAGAAAAAGTTTTAAAAGGGAGCTTTGGTCATGTGGAGAAATCTGACATTCATTCCTCACTGTCAGTGGATAGCTCACTGATGTTTTCCTTTCACTTGTATTCAATGTCCTCTTTCAATTTACTTAGGCTAAATGATCAAACTTATGATTTCATGATTTGACTGACTTATTACAGGAGTTCTAGATGTGGGATTCAGTGGCAGATTTCAAGGGTATGTGAATGCTGTTTCAGTGATATGTCCCAGTCAGATGCCATTTATCTAAATGATCAGATTCTCCAGAGGTCCCTAATGCCCAGCAGACTGAGCAGTCCTGACTTACATTGGTATTTCCTCCTGGCCATTATCCCCCAGATTTCAGAAGCAGCACCAGCTCTGGGCTTAAAATTCAGTGGCTCGGGGATGGTTACTCTGCCCTCTGTCCCCATATCTGGTAAGTGAGGACAAAAAACCTGCTGGATTGTTGAGAGGGTTAAATAGGAAAACATACATGGAAACACAGAAGAGCCTTAGCGGAGCCTTCTGTTAGTCTCAGCACACACACTGCCCTTCTTGAGTCCTGAGCAGATGCAGGAGACTGCTCCTGATGTGGCCTGCTTCAAAATGCAGCGATTAGAATTAAAAGGAGAACTTACAGTCTTGGCAAGTCTTTCTAACAGAAAGACAGTGTCACTTTTTCTTTAATCCCTTCTGGAAGAGGCTTGGATTTTATGTACTTCCAATTCTGTAATCTTTCATTAGTCTAAAAGGGAATAACGGCCCATTTCTCTGAGAAGGCTTTCCTGGGTTTCTGTAGTAAAGAGATTAAAGACTTCCAACCTGAATCCCAGTTATGTCTTTTATTGGCTATTTGTTCTTGACTAAGTAATTTCTATTTGATTTATTCATTTATGTAAGTGGAGTTAGCAATACCTACCTCACTGGCCTCCTGGGAACATTAAACAAGACAGTATATGACACTCTGGTGGTGATCTGGTGGTGATTACTATCACCGTTAGCACCATCATTAACATGCTTATTAGCAAGTGCCTGGAATAGCAGGTAGTCATCAATGCCACCCTTTGCTTCTACCCCATCCAGTCAGGTCAGCCCTGAACTCCTACCTGAAGCATGCTATGGTTCATCTGGAACTGCAGGATGGCCTCACAGAGGTTCCAAAATGTGTATTCTGGCCACAGAATGGGTTGGAACACCAGGCAGGAGTGGGAGGTCTGGGAAAGGTGGGGAGGAAGAGAGAATAATTCAGTAATATGTCACCGGGGCACATCCTGGTCAGGTTTCCAAAGAAGGGACAGGCTGAGCAAGATCCAGAGCCGAGAGGAGACAGCACAGGCATCCCGCACCACAGCTGCTGCTGCCAGCTTTGACACACTCACTAATGGGGCAGCGGTCATCGGAGGCAGTTAGATCACCTGCCCGTATCAAGGCAGAACTAACATGAGACTAGAGCAACATTTCCACCAGGAATTTTCTAAGAGCCAATTTTAGGACTATGAAATAACATCTGGATTATGTTATTGGCTGTTGGCCCTTAAGAGGTCATCTGGGAGACACTGATAAAGTCAGCAACAAACAAATGGTAGTTGCCACGGTTATTTTTGAATTCTGGCTCCACCATTTATTATCTATTTGACCTCCCTGGGTCTGTTTCTGCAATTGTAAAATAGGGTAGTACAAATACTTAGTTTTCACGGGACTATGAAAATGAATCAAGTGAATATACATAAGCAGTCAGACCACAGAGTCAGGTGAACTTTAATAATAAACACTGACGTCAGAACTCTTTTTGGAATGTTCTCAATAGCCACTGCTTGATGTCTACAGTGGTGGGGAGTTCAGCATGCGCGGGAGATAACTTTAGTTGTCAGATAGCTGTTATGCTAAACCAGTGCCATCTTCCCCATTTTTTACCAAGGCTTCTGGTCTTTTCTCTCTAAAGTTTGTTTCTTCTCCAAAGTGACATTCTTTTCAATGTTTGAAGGTTAGATTAGAGCTGATGCTTATCTGTTCCCAAGAGTGTGTCTTTGTTAACAAGCTCTAAGGTTTAAGACTAGGGATCATTTCTGGCATAGTCACTTCTGTATTCCCAGCACAAAGGGAGAACTCAACGTTTTCTCCTGAGAGATCAACTGTGACCATGCTTCCTTCTTTTAAGCCACAATCCTTCATTCACTCTCTGTAGGCCATGATTTCCAGATTCCTTACACCTCCGACTGGGTCCTTCTTATAAGTGTTCCAGTTTACCAAAACAGTTTCTTAAATCTCAGCGCCCAGAAGTTAAAACACCCAACAGGTGATCTGACCAGCCGAGTGTGCTGCAGAACGATCAGTTGCACATTATAATGTTTACAAATCTAGTAAAGACCGGAAGTACATTGAGTAGCTAAATCTTGTTCACTTTTAAGACACTGGTCCATTAAAATTTCTGGTACTTTATCCTGTGACCTGCTTCCAAGCTGCATATCTCTCCCAACCTCTGCCTGAACAAGGACTTCTCCCAGCCATTTGCTTTTTCAGGACCAAGTTAGCAGGGAATGGAAATAAGCATAACAAACTGGTTTGGATATAAGTGTTTGGGGGCAACCTACAGCAGAGTAACTGATGTGAAACGCAATGGCTGGTCCCTGAGAAGGTGTCTGCATATACTCATGCCCCTTGTGAACCGCGTTAGCACAGCTATGGGCCTTTATTCTGAAGGAGAGAGACTAGTAACTGTGAGGTCAGGTTTTAGCCCAGAGATACTGGGACCCTGAACAGGTCACCAGGGCAGGAACTTAGCCTCAGAGACATAAAATGGAAGTTGCATTTTTCTGAACAAGGGCACATGTAAAGTTTTCAGCATGGCTGGGTAGCCTTGATTCTTCCTCTAGGCTGGCGACCTTGCACTTTAGAGAGCCAGAACCACACCAGCTCACAAAGCCAGGGGCTGATGACAAAGGGAGAGAAAATGTTATCTGGTACAGCCTGGTCACATTTCCCCAGATTTCAGTCACACCCTCCCTCCTCCTCTGCTCCATGTTCTCGGTGCCAACATAGCAGGGGGTGGGGATGAGCCTCTAATTCCAAGGGTACGGCTGCCATGCTTAGGCAGATGCAAACAGAATGGGAGTTGGAAACTACCTACTTGCCAGAGCAGGAAGTCACTGAGCCTCACTTCCCCAGAAGTTCGGATCAAGATGTCAGGGTGAGGAGAGTGGTTGGTGTAGAGGCACTTATCCAACAGAGACTCAGAGACGTCACTAGAGTGGGGAGGAGACAAAGATAAGCACACATCCCTATTGTACTAGTCTCATGGTGAACCTAACCGAGCTTCCCGGTTTACGGGCCGGTTTACACCATCAAATACATGAGCCAGCACTACCTGCTGGGCAGAAGAGTCGCCATAATGTTACACAAGTGAACGACTGTAATCCTTATCACCTCATAACTTCTCTCTATACTCATTTTATAGACAAAGAAATAAAGGCTCTGAGATGAATAATTTGCTTTAAGCCATTTAGTGGCAGACCTAAAAGCTGATGTACATACTACCATGTGCAGTCCTTTATTTAAAAATATCTGGGTGTTGTTTTTTTTTTTAAAGATTTATTTATGCATACAGAACTGGGGTGTAGGCCAGAGGTACAGGGGTGGTGAGAGGCTTCACCAGAGACAGAGTGGGGAGCAGAACAGGCAGATAACGAAGTACACTGCTGAGGGGAGCAGCAGGTAGGTCAGGAGAGGTCTGCTGCGCCATGTGGTCACCTCCAGGGATGGGAACTGAACTCTACTGAAGTGGCTGCGGCTCGCTTGTAGTGCTGCACATTAACTCACTACACCACCCCGGAGGGCCCAAAAATATCTTATTTTTTAAAATGCACACACGTGACCCAGAAATCTGATAACTTGTCTTTTTAATAAAGGGGCCTCCGTCAGGGCACAAGGGTTAAAGTCTCAGACCTATCAAACTATCCCCAGCCAGAGAGGTGACCCACATGGCGTAGCAGATTTCTCCTGTACTGTCTGCTGCTCCCCTCAGCAGTGTATTTCAGTCGCTCTGCCTATTCTGCTCTCCCCACTCTGTCTCTGGTGAGTCCTTTCACCCTCATGAACCTCTGGCCTGAACCCCTGTTCTTGTATGAATAATCTTTTTTTTTAAAGACAAGTCTAAATGCACTGATGTGGAAGAATGTCAAAGATCTAATATTAAGTGATAAAGGCATGTTTCAGAAAACCTAAGGGCAGACAACATACACACACTGTATCTCTCAAACACACATGTAAATATGTATGTGTGCATACATGCATGTATACATGTACATATTTGCAAAGAACAAAGTCTAGAAAGAAATACACCATACAATAATTACTTCTGAAAGGTAAGATAAAAGGGAAGGAAAGATCACCTCTTTTTACTTTATTGTAATTTTGTTACTGCTTAATTTAGTACATTTAGAACTTTGTTAAAATTTTAAGTCATATGGACACTTGAAAAACTGTAAAAAAAAAACAAAACCAACATTACTAAGCATTTTTAAAAACAGCAAAATGAGCAACCTTCCTATGTTTGTAAGAGTTTTCCCAAGTAGACATACTCAGAAAAGAGATGGAATTAAGGAAGACTGGGAATTAACAGCATTATCTGAAGACTTTCCCATCAATGGAAAGGGTATTTGCTACAGCTGGTTCCTACAGACTTCCAGAACACTGTTTATCTGTCCTACCCAGAGATACCCAAAAGCAGAATTTAGACTCTTCAAGTAGTAAGATTTGCATATCAGGGAGGGTCCAGAAGATAATCTATTTCTTAGTGGGAGCATAATTAAAAAAGCAGAGATCCTGGGCCCTCCCTGGTGGCGCAGCGGGTTAAAGCACTGCACTGAGAAGCTTAAACCACTTCCGCATGAGTTCGATTCCCGCCTGCCCCGGAGG